TGTATACGATTGGTGATGGATATAGGATCATGTGGGGGTGGGGTAAGAAATATATAATAATGTAAATATACATAAGGGTTTCAAAATTTTCGCTTCGATTTCCAGCTTCGGATGCCGCCTGATGTTTGGTGAAATACAGTCGAATATAATCTCAAAATGGCGTTTAAATTAGCCTAAATTAAAAATAATCGTATATCTCTTAAAATTGCTTTTAGAATATTGATTAGTATATTTTTTGATTTCTAGGTAAATATGTAACCAAATTAAAACGTTCAAAACGTAAAAAAATGTGCATGGTTGAAGATTGTCAGAAAGTAGATTCTTGAATAGGTTTTGCCAAAATGGGTTCAAAAATGTCAATAATTAATTAAAAAATACAGTAGCTTTATAATTACTTATAACTTACCGAATTTGATGAACGACATCTTTTATTGGAAAGATGAGCTTGATGAGCTTTCATCATCGCTACTGCCTGAAGCTCCAACGTCAATAATGAATGGATCGACTTGTTCCTCTAAAATATTGTCCAGATCCCACATTCTCTTTTCAACTTTGTCTTTCACGTGCTTAATACAGTTTTCCCATTTTTGCGCTGTTATTAATTCTAGTGCTTCTTTGAAAAGTCCTTTGAGGTCACAAAATTTAAAAGTTGTATTGTGCTTAGCTATATAATTTTTAACCTCTGCCCATATGAGCTCAATGGGATTGAGCTCGCAATGGTATGGAGGTAAACGGAGCACAGTTTTATTTTGACTTGCTGCCATTTCGTCAATGGCGTATTTTTGATATTCCGCCTTGTGATCCTTGACAATTCTTAATAATTGTACTTTCAGCATTGCTTCTTCAAAGTTGATATTTTTCGAGCGGAGCCAATTTTGAACATCAACTGTCCTTGAAGCCGTTGTTGGGACCTTCTCCATTCTTCGAGAATGATAAGGCGCATTATCCAACACAATTACTGCGTTTTCCTCTAAGTTCGGTAAAATTTTTGAAAACCACTGTTCAAACGATTCGCCATTCATTTCCTCGTGGTAATCTCCAGTTTTCTTAGGCTCAAAGCACCACAGACCGTCAACAACAAATCCATCCTCACTGCCAACATGGCAGATAATGAGCCTTTTCCCTTTACCTGGAAATCGAAGTACTAACTGGTGTAGATTTATTTCAATAAGCGAACCTTTTTCAAATGTTTTCATCACATTCAGCGAAAAAACATTGAGACATGAGTATCAGATTGCTATAATTCGGATTATTTAGTCATATTGAAAGAAAGAATATTGAACGTCGTATGATTACACAGCGCTTCACAATTTAATTTAAAGTTATAAACCTTTAAAAAATGAATGATCAGGAACCTGAAATACGCGCAAATATTAGTATTAACAAATTATAACTTTATAAAGCTTAAAGTATGAATTAAAATGATTAAAAATATTAGGAACGGTACACAATATAAATCTTAGTAACTTTTTTTAAGTTTATAATATTCGACATATTTTAAGATTATATTAAAAAATTATTGAAATATCGAAAACACATAAAAACATGGCTTAAAAAAGTTCTAACAAATGAAAATGACAATAAAACATCCACGCATTTTATCGAAAGTTATAAAAGTTTTGTTACTTGTAATATGTTTTATCTGCCCCCTGGAATTAATGTTTAGAACCTTGTTCCCAAGGTTTGAAAAACATCCGATTGTTGTCTATTACTCGTATTTACCTGCTGGATTTTTTAATCCGGTGGACAGTCCATCTAGAAAGGCCCTCCTGGATGAAGTTACAGAATCATCAACCCATACTTTACTTGTAGTGTGTCCTGCGTTTACCCACGTTTCATCAAGGTAATAAATATTCCTGTTTTGATTTCTATATTTCCCAATTTTTGTTAAATAATCCCTTCTCCATAGCACAATTTCTTCTGTATCCAGTAGTAAACTATTATGACCCCGTTTTTTCCATTTGAAATTTAAATGCTTCAGTAACGCATGGAAAGTTGATCGTTTGAAATTTGGCAACGTTGTATCTCCATTTACCTCCTGCAGTACTTTATCTATAGTAGGTATTTCATTCCTAAAGAAAAATTCATGCACTTTCCTCCTAATCGCATGCTTATCAGCTTCATCCAATGATTTAACAATACTTTTGCGATGTTTACTGGTCATTGGCTCAGAAAAGGTGTGATTTTTTTTGTATTGTCTTAACACATTAAACACTGATGCGCGACACACCCCAACTTTGTGAGAAACCTTCACAACAATTTCTTTGATTGTTGATGCCTCGTTCTCCTCGCGCTCGATCTTATATATATTCAAAATGACCTCTTTCATTTCTGCACTCAGGTGTCTTTTTTTAGAGCGTTTCCTAGGTGGACTACAGGAGTTTACAACTTCATCGGCAGTATCTGTACTACTGGGCATTTTGCGCAAGCAGTTGATAACAATAACAATCAATAACAAGGTATAACAATAACAACGACAAACTCAACAACTTAATAAGATAACAAACGAAAACGTCCAAAGAAATATCAAATTGCAAGGATGCACACGACATACGTAACACGTCTGAACCTGAATGTGACTCTGCCTTGATACGACTGCTCTGCCGCTCGGCATATGCATTTAATTGCGAATTGACCAATGAGGGCCCCTGTTTTACGTCGAGACGGCGGCGTTAGCGTGAAAATCACCCGAACCTTTTGTTTACATCCGGTCTATCTCTTATCTGAATATACTGTAGTATGCATGCTTCCGCCCCCGTGTTTTTTATTCTATCACAAGCTGCAACTATTCTTCTCTTAATTCCTCTACAGTGTTCATGGGACTTACATCCGGTCTATCTCTTATCTGAATATACTGTAATTATCAGTAACCGCATTTTCTCACGAATAACCTTTCCTTTACCCATTTTGAAAACCTTAACTACCCAAAACTATTTTAAACGTATTCTGACAGCTGTGATTAATAAAAACAATTGTCATGGTTTTTATTTTTCACAGCCACCTATGCGTTATACACTTAGTTTGCATTGAAATGAAAATAGGTTGATATGCTGTAATTGCAACATGTGTTATTTTTATGCTGCAAATTTGATTAGGGAGTGATAAAGTTGGTGTTTTCTACTAGATATTATCAAAATATTCATTGTTAATATTTTAAACCTATAACATCCTGCTACATTTTTATTATTTGTGTTTGATAAGAAAAAAACTAAGATTTCAATAGTTGGGCCAACTGAGGTGGGAAGAGGCTCGTATGTTCTGTTGAACAAGTCGACTAGCATTCTCGCTAAAACTTTGGATCTTTGACGTGATAGTGTCCACAATTCCGGCCCTGTAACGAAAGCGTCAGATCGGTTCGCTGGTACATGTTGTACAGGCTGACCGGCAAGTCGAGATCAACCACGGAATCTGCGAAATGAGGAAGAGGTTCGATGCAGTATCGGTTTTGTTAGCAGAGTTACTTATTCACCGCTTGTTCCGTGTCAAAAGCGATGCTGTGCAATACCTGCTACAAGGAATACCTTTTATTTCGCTGACGCGAAATGTAGGATACGCTTTAGATAACGATTCGGTTAGATCGGTAGGAATTTAACCTTCTGACCAATCCTTGTATTTTTATTTCTACGTGTACGAACCATATGTTACAATGAATCAAAAAATCTCTTCGTTAGTAGCTATTTTGAAACCAAAACTATCAATGTTAAACATAAGACAGCAGAACTAATCATGCAGAAGTTTAAGATTCCGTCCATCATCGAGTAAGATCCGACCAAAAGAACTCTTTATACTTTTTGTAATTTTTTATAATGGGTGTTTTTTTTGTAGAGGTATAGAACTTTAAATTGCAATAAAACAACGATGGATTATTCGATTGACATGCATTCTTTTTATTCGAAAGATATCTCATTTTAAATATGATTTCTGGTATCTGACTGCCACGGCTGGCTCGGATGTAGTCCAATCTGGACGTCCAATTTTCGATGACTTTTTCCAACATTTGTGGCCGTATATCGGCGAATGTTGTCTTCCAAATGGTCAAGCGTTTGTGGCTTATCCGCATAGACCATCGATTCCCAAAGTGGTCTATATCGACCCCTAGGGGTCTATGACAACCTGCAAGGGGTCTATGTCAGCCAAAAAAAATTTGGGGGTCCATGAAATGAATATGGGGGTCCACGATACTGGATCTCAACACATACACTGATAGTACCTATTTACTTACATCATGCTATCTTATAATATTAAAACATACATTATTTATAAAAGTACCTATGAAGTAAAAAATTTATTATATATGTTCATAAAATTGTGTAAGTTGTAGGATGTTGGTATTCGCTTTGTGGTCGCAATACATTTTGAACTTGTAAAAACCTGAGAGTCGCAGTCTTAGAGCTTCGCTACCTTGCACTGACTTGTTCAATTCGTCACTCTATAAATACGAATGTGGGACAAATACGTTTATTCGTTTCCTGAATCTTGAAAAGGAAAGTGCTAAGAAAATATTTTAAAAAATATAAACAGATAGTATATCACACAAATTATAGTGAGTCAGTGTTATTTTGTTTGAGAGTGCTGGAGAAAAGTAAGTACATTATTTTTTATTAAATTTTAGTTTTGTACTCGTAGTTAGCAAAGACAGATAAATTACGCCTATCATGACTTTAGTTATTAGTAGTTAAATATTCAATCATGCAAAATTACACGAGTACTCCTCAATAGTTTCTTTTTGAACGTTTTAGCAATCGGTAATATAATTACAGTGCAATCTCCGTAATTCGAGCTAATTGTTGCAAGAAGATGTTCGAATTATGGAATGTTTTCGGAAAAATCAAAAAATATTTTTAATATACAGCTGCTGGATTTTCTGTCTTATTTAAATAATTTAATTTTGCCCACAGATGACTGATGCCATGTCCGCATCTAAAAAGAAATGTAGACAGTACAGTGTTGATTATTTGAAATTTGGCTTCATTCCATCATTGCCGGACAAACAATCGCCTATGTGCCTTTTATGCAACAAAGTTTTGGGCAATGACGCTATGAAACCATCTAAACTGCAAGATCATTTGAGAAGATGCCACCCTGACAAAACAGAGAAAGATTTGAAATACTTTCAAACACTCAAAGATAAATTTCAGAAGAGACCTACACTGGACAGAATGTTCGCTTCGACGTCACAAAGAAATGATGATGGTTTGCGGGCGTCTTACAATATCTCGTTACAGCAAAATCCGGAAAACCGCATACTATCGGAGAGAAGTTAATTTTGCCAGCCGTTGAAGAGGTTTTAAAAACTGTTTTACAGAAACCTGCATCTGATATCATTAAAAGAATTCCCTTAAGCAATAATACTGTTGAAAGACGTATTGATGAAATGAGTTCTGATATTGAAAGCTTCTTATGTAATTATTTGCAAACGACCCATTTCTCTATACAACTGGACGAGTCAACTTTACCTGATAATGCAGCATTATTATTGGCATAGGTTCGTTTTATTATGAATCAAGAAATCTACGAAGAACTGCTCTTCGCAAGAACTTTGATAACCGACACTAAAGGTGAATCAGTATTTCATGTTTTACAGGATTACTTCATTGAAAAAGCAATTCCTTTATCAAATATAATCAGTAGCTACAGATGGAGCACCTGCCATGGTTGGACGTTATCGTGGATTTATAAGCTATTTAAAACAAAATGTGTCAGGGGTGTTAGCAATACATTGCGTCATCCATCGACAACATTTAGTTGCTAAAAATTTGAGTGTTAGATTGTATGAATCACTTTATTTAGTCATTGATGCAGTAAACCGAATCCGAAGCAACGCAGTTGTGTGAAGAAAAAGACGAACACTTTCATCAGTTACTCCTTCACACTGAAGTACGCTGGCTGTCGAAAGGCTTAAGTTTGACAAGATTTTTTGCACTTTTTGAGACTATTTTAGAATTTCTGGATACTAAAGATAAAATTTTAAAAGAAAATTTAATGAAGAGGAAAACAGACATCGCCTATTTAACAGATTTGTTTACAAAATTTAATATGGTTAATTTGCAATTACAAGGCGACAGTTTAAATTTGATTAAAACAAAGTCCATCTTATCAGCGTTTCTTGCCAGAGTTAAACTAATGAAGCAAAATATTGGACGGGGCGAATTTTCTCAGTTCCCCAATTTGTATCAGACAAGCTGCCAGGAAGACGACGTTTCAACTTACGTTCAACATTGAAAAGCCCTCTATTCAGATTTTGAATCTAGGTTTGAGGATATTTTGACTATCGCAACACCACCGTGGATAATTAATCCATATGGTGACATAGAAGAAACAAATGTCATAATACAAGAGGAACTGACTGAACTAAGTACAGTTTAAAAACGGATATCAACAATTCTGGCTGCAAAACAACATACCCGTTACTTATCCCGTATTATGGAATATAGCGAGGAAATTTTTAATTTCCTTTCTATCGTCATACCTAGTGGAAAGGAGGTTCAGCGCTGTTACCAATCTCCTAACGAAAAAAAGAAACAGACTGGACATCATTAGCCGAGGAGACTTAAGATTAACCCTTACAAAATTGACGCCAAATGTTGATAATTTATTATTAAAGCATCAGGTTCATCCTTCTCAGTAAAAATATTGACTTATTGCTTATGTTATTTTATTTATAGTTTATTTTATGTTTATTGGTGTCTGACCAATAAATGCCCGCATTGGGAATAAGTGCCCGCATTGATTTTTTTAAAGAACCCCCCTTTTATAATATTTTTTTTAAATTATTCTGAAAATTCAAGGATAGGTACACACTAAAATTCGTTAATTTTTTGCCTATTTTTAGATAACTTAAACGTATAAGAAGCGGAATTTAATCAAACTAACAGTGAAATTATTGTAGAACATACGTTTATGTTATAATCAATAAACGAACTCGCTTATTGTACTATTTTAAGTAAAAAACTTTTTTTTATTATTTATTCACTTTTTTTATTTTATCCCTTATATTTTTTTTTCAATGCGGGCACTTATTCCCAATACGGGCACGTATTGGTCAGACACCTGTTTATTTAATGTTACGTATATTTTACATAACAGATACAAAATTTTATTTTGAGTAGTTTTAATTTAAATTCAATTAATAAATGTATAAATTAACATGTGTTTTTGCTTTAAGTTTTTAACACTAAACTTCACTACAGTTAGAAATTTACAGGAAATCAATATCAGGTAAGTAGGGGGTCTACCCAACACGGAAAAACATGGCAAGGGGTCTACGACACAAAAAAGTTTGGGGAACTCTGAATTAGAGTAAACGTGGTGCGAAAACGTTCCATGGTTAATCGAATTAACTGCTCTGATGGACGATTTTGTCGACGATAAAATGGACGTAGTGCGCGATACGTATTCCGCACAGAACCATTATTTTCGAAATAAAACTGCACAATTTGCATCAAATTATTTGGAGAATTTTAGTGGATAATTTGTTATATCCTTACCATATTTTAAGAGTACAGGCATTACTTCCCATTGATTTTGCAAGGCGTGTGACCTTTTTTCAGTGGTATCTTCAAAAAATTACACAAAATCCGCAATTTGAATCAATGATTCTGTTCACGGACGAAGCTAATTTTTCACGAAATGCCATTCAGAATTTCCACAATAATCATTTGTGGGCAAAAGAAAATCCCTGTGCCGTAACCGAAGCCCAGTTCCAACACCAATTTTCGGTTAACGTATGGGCAGGAATTATTGATAACCACTTTATTGGCCCATTCTTCTTGCCAGGACGACTTGACGGACAGACTTACCTCAATTTTCTTCAACAACAGTTGCCTTTGCTGCTTGATGATGTTCCGACAAAACGAACCATGGGCATAGTTTTACTGTAGCCGCTAGAGGGCGCTCTCTACTGTACCTGTAGTGTATTAAAATGACCGACAAATTTTTCTTAGTGCAATTTTTTGCTCTTCGAATAAAAAAAATGATTCTTCGCACTTTTCAACATAAAAAAGCTCTCTTGTGAATTTTTGTTATAGTTAGCCGTTTTTGAGATATTTCGATTTTTAAGGTTCGATGCATTTTTGATTATTTATGATAAAATAACTTTAAAAAGTCACTATCTCGATAATTTTTAGAAGTAGGCTGTGCCTGCAAATATTTTTGAAATTCAAAGCAGAATAAAGTTAAACGTCAATTAGTTGACAGTTAGTTTTGTTGTCTGTTGAAACCTGAAACGTTTTTTTGCAATTGTGGATGCACGAAATTTAGTTTCTTTTACCTGTTTTTTTTTTTGTTTTATAATAATAAAATGCCATTTTCATTCTCCAATCAAGAGTTAGCGGATATTAATTTTGTGTATGGCTTTGTAAATGGAAACGCAGCAGAAGCAGCCAGAGAATACGCACCAAGATTTCCATACAGATGACATCCAACTCGCTCAGTATTTGTAAGAGTGCATCGCCAAATAATTGAAAATGGTTTTGGAAATCTCCAAAGGGATCAAAACATAAATGTTCGTCAGCGCAGATTTACCCGTATGATTCTGCGTGAGTTTGATAGAGATCCGACCACAAGTGTTAGGAGAGTTTCTGGTGCCTTGGGAATTTCAGCAAGCCATGTTCACCGTGTTCTTAGAAATGACCATAGACGTCCTTACCATTTGCAACCTGTGCAAGGACTACAGCCAGAGGACGGAGAACGAAGAATCGCATTTTGTCAGTGGATAGAACTGATAATAATAGGTAGTTTTTAAGTAACGTTTTATAGACCGATGAGTCATGCTTCACTAGACGTGGAGTGGTAAATTTTCATAATCAACATATTTGGTCGTATGAAAATTCGCATGCAGTTCGGGAAAGAAATGTTCAGCATGAATTTAGTGTGAACGTGTGGATTGGTATCTACCGTAATCGACTATTTGGACCCTACCTTTTGCTTGCAAGGTTAAATGCTGCAACCTTCTATGTGGGATGATGTTTTGTTAGATTTAAGAAGATTAGCCTGGTTCCAGCTTGATGGTTGTCCAGCTCATTATTCGAGAATAGTTAGAAACTGGCTGGACGAAAATTATCCAGAAAGATGGATCGCCCGTGGAGGACCAGTCCCCTGACCTAAATCCATTAGATTTCTTTGTGTGGGGATTTCTAAAAGGAAAAGTGTACCAGACTACCGTAACCACAAGAGATATGATAATAGACAGAATCAGGAATGCATGTGATGAAATGAGCCCTTATTTGAATAATGCTATACCACATTCGTAGATGTGAATTGTGTATTGAACAATTGGGTTTACATTTAGAGCAACTACTTCAGATTTTGTATGTTCGTCCTAACTATCCAATAGCATTTTAGTTGTAAATAATTAATTTAATTTTTTAAAAATAATATTGGAAAATTAAACAAATTAATATTCTGTTTTTTTTTTGTGTTTATTTGGAGTTAGGAATTATTGCTGTGTTTAAAAACACAATCTAAACTATCTTCTTAATTACTTGTAATGCCCAAATCGAAAATGTAAAAAAATATTATTTTCCCATAAATAATTAAAAATGCATCGAACCTTAAAATTCGAAATATCTCAAAAACGGCTAACCATAACGAAAACTCACAGGAGAGCTTTTTTATGCAGAAAAGTGCGAAGAATCAGTTTTTTTTATTCAAAAAACAAAAAATTGCACTAAGAAAATTTTTTCGGTCATTTTAATACAATACAGGTACAGTAGAGAGCGCCCTCTAGCGGGTACAGTAAAACTATTATGTTCAATGTTCACTGTTATACATCCAAAATATTGTTCGAAATATTTAAAAAAAACTATTTTAAAAAGTAAATTTAATCACCCTGTATTTCGGAAGCCACGCATTTTTCGACCCATGTCTATATAGACTTTATGCATTAATTTTAAAAGTTCTATCGAATCTTAAAGTTATGCAACAATAAACTGAATCACCTTGTAACAATTTTCAGCAACTTTTGATGTGTGTGAGAAAAGAAGGATTCATACTAAAGTGACAACAGGTAAAGAATAGAAAGTCCATCAGCCCACGGTAAACGCAACATACCCTCGAAGGAAGAACTTAATATGCTGACTGTTAAAATAAGCCAGCAAAAACTGTGATTCTGGAAATAGATGGCACCTTATACAGTCTTGTTTCGATAGATTTTATAACTCATATAGAGGTTAGTTGATATGCTTTCGTTCGTTGTTATGACCTAGACGATACTGATGAGGTGCTAAAAAGCACAAAACAACAGTCTATGGATGACTGTCCGTGCTCGGTAGGTCAAAACCAGTATATTTAGATGGTAGCTATTCTTCGTTTAAGCCCCCATTCGCTACTCCCATGACATTGACAAGTATGGTGACTTCATCTTCAACCGATGGGTTATAAGTTAACCATTCGATCTCGTTATCGGCTGATATACTCCTCCCGATACGACGCTTGATTTCGTTTTGTTAGTTGAGCTCCTTGTCGGTATGAAATATGACCGAGCCGCCTGCCTACGCTCAGCACAAGCCGCTCTCGATAATTCTATTAATCTCGTCTCATTTATTCTTCGGGCATTTGCCTGTCATCCGGATGCTCAGCAACAGGTATACAGGGTGCTCCTTAATGATATGCGTCTTGTAGGTACGAAGATAGAGAGATATTGTGCGCAAAAATTGATACCGTGAACTACTTCGATCTATTTACCTGCTGGATTTTTCAATCCGATCGACAGTCCATCTAGAAATGCCCTTCTGGATGAAGTCACAGTTTTGTCAACCCATACCTTCGGAGTAGTGTGCCCAGCGTTAATCCAGGTTTCGTCCAGGTAATAGATCTACCTGTGCTGATCCCTGAATGATTTAATTTTGGTCAGGTACTCTCTCCTCCACAGAACAATTTCTTCTCCATCCATAAGTAAGCTGTTACGACCTCGTTTCTTCCATTCGAAATTAAGATGCTTCAAAAGTTCATGAATAGTCGAACGTTTGAAATTTGGTAACATAGCATCCTCGTTAACCTCCCGTAGTGCTTTATCAACTCTCGGTATTTAGTTTCTGAAGAACTCGTGCACTTTCCTCCGAATCGCATGCTTGTCAGCGTCATCCAACGATCTTATGATACTTTTGCGATTTTTACCCGTCATTGGCTTGGAAAAGGCATGCTTTTTCTTATGTTCGTTCAAAATATTGTACACTGTCGCGTGGCATCCCCAATTTTATCTGCCACTTTCAGAGCTATTTTCGGGTTAGTTGATGTTTCGTCGCCCTTCCGCTCTATCTTGAATGTATTCAATATGACGTCTTTCATGTCTACGCTAAGATGTCTTTTTTTATCGCTTTCTAGAAGGGCTAAGGGACTAGCCTACAGCCTCGTCAGCAGTATCTGTACTGGACATGTTCAGGATTGGTTCAAAACAAATAATAACGAGGAATAACAATAACAAACAGAAACTTAACAAATTACTCAAATACACTTAACAACAACAACAGCAACAACCAAGCAAGGTGAATACGAAAACACGAGCACGCAGTGATACACGCGACGGTCGGTGGCCTGAATGCAACTCTGCCTGCCCTGCCCCTGCCCCGCGCATTATTCCGCCAGGCGACCGCTTGAAATTTAATGGCGAATTGACCAATAAGAGGCGTT